CGTGCGTGTGTGTGCGTGCGCGTGTGTGTGCGTGTGCGCGTGCGTGTGTGTGCGTGCGCGTGTGTGTGCGTGCGGGTGTGCGTGCGTGTGTGTGCGTGCGCGTGTGTGTGCGTGCGCGCGTGCGTGTGTGTGCGTGCGCGTGTGTGTGCGTGCGTGTGTGCGTGCGTGTGTGTGCGTGCGTGTGTGCGTGCGCGTGTAACGGTACGCGTGTGCGCGTGTGTGTGTGCGCGTGCGTGTGTGCGTGGGAGGGAGGGAGAGGGCGCACTGGAGTGGTGGCGTATTTTGTTCGCGTTTTTACCGCGCCATGAAACGCAGCCAGGCAAGTTTGATTTCCGGCCACGGCTTGGCTGACGTTGGTGGCAAGTGATGTCCAATGCTGGACCCTCCTGTCGTTTTTTGCGCAGCCCTAAATGAGTTACCATCTGGTGTGGGCTAAGACATGGGCACAGGAGAGACGAAGGCGGATCCGGATTATTGTGTCCTGACCACACCGCCCTCCGTTGCGCCGCGCCTGCCTTATTAGGTGCTCACTGACAGCATAATTATGCCCCAGCAGCGGCAGAAGCCTGTTAGAGGCAACAAGGGGGGGGGGGGGGTCTCTACGTCTCTCTACGTGCGTGGGAGCGAGCGCATAAATCTCCTTGTGCAGCCGAAGCACGCCCGGCCCACGTCTGCTGATACCGCAGTAAGAATCGATGCTGAACTCTCATGGGGAGGGAGAAGGCAGCGAGGGTACAATGTTGCTGCCGCTGTTTTGCGCCCATGCCCCTCGATTCACGGGCCAGGCTCGCCAGGACGGTGCTGTGCCCGCCCGCCAACCCGCGTGCCACACGCCGCGACGTGGTTCCGCACGCACGCCGGAGTTCGAGTTCTTTACTTAGCTGTTCATTCTGCACCTGTGCACTCACGGTCGGGCTCACGGTCGTTATTTTGTGAGCTGTGATGGTTGGGTGGTGGTGGTGGTGGCGGTGGCAGTGCGGATGCCAGCAAGCCAGATTTTACAATCTGTAGGTGGGTTCCATTCCAGGTGTGGGTGGTGGAGGCTCGAAGCCTGGGGTGGGTGTGTTTACTTGGGTACTGCCACCCGTCAACTGAAGGAATAAATTAATAACATTCGCATGCGTATGTCATCGTGTCTCTGTCTATAACATAGGTGTTCGGGTTAGATCGCGTAAATAATAATGCGTCGTTAAACCCGCCACCGCCTGACACAGGCAATTAGTGAGGTTTGTCACGTAAACTAAACGTGCCAATTCGTTACTCGTTCAGCACACCGGTGCGTTGGAGAGAAAACCCACGACATTTACAATTCGCGTACGACGTTTCGTCGGTAATTTCAACTAGCGTCATCAGGCGGACAGCCAGAATTGTGGATAATAACGTCTTTCTGTCTGCCTCTCTCTTTCTCTCTCTCTCTTCGTCTCTCTGTTCTTTCATGGCCGTTTCGGCCAGTCTTGACCCAGCTATCCATTGCTGCTCCCTCTACTCTCCTTTCAACCCCCCCCCCCCCAACTCTCATGCTTTACCAGTTCCCATTAAAATGATTTTGGCCTGTCACCTCTGATTTGAGGTCAAGGTGGTTGAGTGTGGTTGCCTCTAAATCTTGCAGTCCATCCGGCCAAAGGGTGGAAGAATGGATTAAATCCCTCCCGAATCGAATACGGAGGTCGTTCATCCGTAGTAGCATTGATTAATTTAACTGCAACCAACAACCGCAACGTGATTGTGAATATCCTAAGCAAATATTCAAAAAAGGCAGATAACATATCAGCCGTAAATATTCCGCAAAAAAACCCACCGCTCGACATGAACACAGCGCATAAGTAAACCACAATTTGCGTTCAACGATTGGTGAAATCGAGCACCACATCAATTATCCAATGCTTGCATGACCAATTAACGAGCGCGTACAATTTTAATTCACCCCCCCCCCCTCCACCCCAGTAATCTTGATTAGTTACTGTAATGACAACACGGGATGATTTCGTTTGGCAGGTGGTGGCGGATGAAAACGAACGCGTTAGTTGCTGCCGCACAACTCGCCGTCAAAATTTGTCATTCCGAGCGCGTCCTGGCCCCGATAATTCTGACTTTGCGATGAGTCCTCCGTTTCGCATTGGCAGCGGCAGCACGGTCGCCGTGACTGCAGGAGGCGATAGCGGGGCGAGCGTTTAATCTCGAGCAGGGGATTAAACCTGGCGTCGCCTCGACCGCTGGCGTCGGGACAAAGTTAGCGAGAAGATCTCCTCGCGCCTTTAGTGGCCAGTTCATTTTCCCAGGAGCGCGCCGGAGATAAGCCCCGGGGGATGCGTCCTGTTTGGAAAGGTCGTGAGTTCACAGTGTCCAGGTTGCGTCGTGGCTGGCTGTCGATGGGCAATGAAAAATACAATTCTTTATCGTCATAATCAACAACAAGAATGATGTTGTTGTTGATAATGATGAATGCCTCCCCCAAGCCATCTCTCGTGTAACATGTAAAAATCCACCTAGCACCTCTACACGAGCTGATTTGATCACTCCATCTCCTTTGGCGAACGTACTCTCAATCGCATTACATTCCTTGGCTTCCAATTCCATAACACTGGTCAACACACTTTTTCTGGCATAAGGTATTCCAACGGTCTTAATGTAATGTTGGGGTGCTGATTCCAAATCTGGCATCAGTTTTTGTTTATCACATCAGGTTTTTGAGATATCAAATATTGCATTTTCAATAAAAACTGCAGAAAAAATATATGAAATAAATGTGGATATCTACATAAAATGATATTATAAACACACTATCCTAAAAATACAGCACCATATTTTAACACTAAAGCAGTCACTGACTCGCAACAACTTGCAATCATAAGTGACAGAGTTAATTTCTGGTAAAATCAATGAAAATGGGGTATGCCGATAGCATAAAAATGAGATGTGATAGAGCAAATCTGAGATCAGATTTGGAATCAGCACCCTGAAATTAGTCTAGAACAGCTGCAAAAGTCCAGGCGAGAAAAAAATATTTTTTTTGTTGTTGAACAGTGTAATTATTATTGGCCACTGGCCATTATCCCTGTTGACGTTTGCTGCCGAAACCCACTTTTTTGCCATTAGATGTTTGTCTCTACACAAACAGAAAAACATTGTGTTAAAAATCCACCCACTAAATATTGTAAATCCCAGGTCTTCCTTCATGAAGAGATAATTAATCTTAATAATGAGTTCTCCACTGCTTTTATAAATAACATCGTTGGATTGATTTCAAAATTATTCGGTTGCTTTACGATAGCCTAAACAAATCTATATATTTTTATTGTTTATTCTCTAAGATACTATTTCATCCATTATCTTTATTAATGTATAGTTTTATTCTTCCTGTGGGGTCACCTCAAATCCCTTGTTTCCAAATCTCGACCAAGAACCCTGAATGAATTGAGACAATTAAAGAATTGATGAATGTTCAAAGATTATACAAGCTGTAATCTTTGAAAAAGTCAAAAATTCATTCCGAAAGAGAATTCATGAATACATTAATTTCAAGGGAAGTAATTTTTAACATTTGTTAAAATAAATTTAATTACCTTTTGTGATTAAGTTAAAAAGAAATGTAATCACCCAATGTGTCCTGACTTTTGAGCCACCTTGTACAAGGGCAGTTAAGAGTATGGCACCTTGCCAGGTGGCACAGAGGTCTGAGCAGTGAGCCAGCAATGTTGAACTCCTGGGTTCAAATCCAGGTATCAATGTATCCAGGATTAAACCAGTTTCTCAAATGTCGTGAGTTGGTCTCTGACCAGTCACCACTGTATTAAGTTAGTTTTTTTTACTTAAGTTGGTACAAATTGCAGCTCTTTTGTTATCGCCACGTGATGAATATCTCTTTATCGGGGCATGTGGGAAAGTATAAAATGAGGTGACTTGAAAGGATCTCGGAAATAGTTCTGTGATATCACCTTCCACGGGCAAAAATCTTAACTATGTGGGTTGTTGCACACCTCTGCCAGAGTTCTGGATTTATTTGTCTCATGAACTGACACCGATAACAGTTGGAAAACAAATTGCAAAATAAACATTGTTAATGGATACGTGTGCTGAATGCAGTGAAGGTTAAATGTATTTTTTTCATGGGTTTACGAGTCATGGCACTCTTGCAATTTCCTCCATCCTTCCATTACCCTTGTAGATTGAAAAATCCCATCTTTTGCAAGATAGTTACAAGAGCAATTAATTAAGTACAATGAATGATGGGCAGGTGTGTGTGCTGTAGTAGCCCACGTGCGGCTCGGGGTGCAGCATTGCCCTTGATAAGTGGAGCCCAGACTCACCTTGGCCAACCCTAGATTGACTCGGCCCAAAATGAGTACCCGGTGACGTGGTGTGTCAACATCGGTATTGGAGAGACATAGGCGGATGACCGTGTGTGTGTATGTGCTGGCAACCCACCCCGTTGTGTGCTGTGGCGACCTTCATATGTGCTCGCTAGCAGCACCCAAAAGTCTTTGTTGTTCATAATGAAGGTTTTTTTTTGGGTTAGATCGCGTTATTATAAATGTGTCGCAACCCTCCACCACCCGACACGGCCAATCAGTAAAAAATGTGTCACGTTAACAATAATACAGGTCGCGAAAGCCTACGTGTAAAACCGACTCGTCTTTGTTGTATATATGCGGGGAGCGGTAATGTAGGGTTAGCACGCTGGGCTAAAAACCCAGATACCTGAATTCAATTCCCACTCATGGCCAACACCAGTGACGATACCTGAATCAGTTCTGGGCCTCCCCTAAGTTGACTCCGTCTCATATGACTACCTGGTGCGATGTGTAAACATCGTCACTGGGGAGACAAATGCGGCAGGGCATGGTGCTGGGCACCCACCTCCTCGTGTGACCTGCCGTTTTTCGTAGGTGCTACTCGCTAACAGCACTTGCCTCAACAGTCTGCCAAAGGCTACACAGTGCATCTCTGTCTGTTTGTTTGTTCGTGTGCGTGTGTGCCAACGAACGATCGCGCACCCCCAGAACCCTGAGGCAGGACGTGGAGGAGGAGGAGACCAAGGGCTCGCTGCTGTCCCGGCAGGAGCGCTTCAGCGGCAAGCGCTGCGTGCGCTGCTGCGCCGCCTTCTGCTGCCTGCTGAACGCGCGGCGCCGCTGCCACGCGTGCCGTCGCTTCGTGTGCGCCCGCTGCTGCTGCCGCCGCCGCTGGTGCTGCGAGCGCGGCCGCACCGAGCGCGGCTGGAAGTGCCGCACGTGCTGCAAGGCCACGTGAGTCGTCGTTCTCCTTCACACCGTTCCGCCTTGGCCTTTGCGCCCTCGCCCGGCGCATCTAAGCCGTGCCAGCAAGTGGTGGGGGGGAGGGGGGGGGCTGGCACGGCACGGGTGGTTTTCCACCGGCATTTTTTACGGGGTGCCAACACGGGGGCCGGAGCCTGCGGGGGAGGGGGGGTGCTAGCGTGCAAAACGCGCGTGTGACGTCGGTCAGTGCGCAGCTCTCAAACGCATCGCGGCCTACGCACGCGTCTTTTGTGCCGCTCTTACCCCGAGGGTTACGTCGGTGGCACGGCTCGGCTTGCGCAGTGGAAAATAAATCCAGTGCTTCTTGACCCGCCCCTCAGCCAGCCCGGCAAGGGCACCAGCATGGCTCGGATTTGCGAGCGACAAAAGGGGCGAACCGGCTGACGCCTCTGTCACTCCGCCAAGGCTCGCTGCTCCCGTCACCAGGGTTGCTACCCGTTAGGGAGGTCACGATTTATTCAAGTAATGAGGGTTTGTCAGTTCGTCAATTTAACAATCGATTCTCACCTACGGCTGGGAAATGAACTCAAGTTGCTGGGTTCATAGTGCGGTGTGCTAACAACCGCGCCACCCCTCCAAACACATAGACCCTCGGTTCCACGCATCAATTTGTATGTATGGGCATCGCCTATTTGTGGTTTCCGTGAATTTTTTAAAAATTATATGCCATGTTACATGTTATATTTATGTTATATTTAGGTTATATTGAGCAAATGAAACGATACCAAAGAGCAAGAAAAAATAATAAATAATACAAATGAGGTGATAACAATGAGACAAAACAGAATAGATTCTGGAATATCGAGCTTGAATTGAGATACCTAGTTGAATCGTAACAAGTAATCAGTTACAACTATTTAAACACTGTATACGAGCGCGAATGTAAACAAAAACATTGGCAGTGGCCATTTAACCGAGAGGTCAAAAATCCCCGGTTTGAAACGAGGTTTCAGCCACCCGTGCTAAAACCCGCCTCCTTTGCATTGAGTCGGTGGCCTCAGCCTGGTCAACGCTGACTGTGAAAAAAAAAACCCACCGGATTAAATTTCACCACATTTTGAAAAACTCTGGCTTCGAGAATTACAACATTCAATTTCGGTTTGACTGCCAGATTGTGTTATGGAGGGATGCACTGCACTGCAAAAGTGTTGCGGGTGGACATCTCTTCAACTCTTGGCCCTGACGCGGAGGGCACATTTGAAATAAAATTGCGGGAGCGAAAAAAGAGGTAAAAAAAATTTGAAATAGATTCTTGCGTGCAGGTGAAATACGTAAATTCATGAAGCAATAATCTATTACAGTATTTCCATTTCATATATGATGTAAACCTAATGATGCTACCACGTCCATTTCAGAGATAGTCAATGAACTCAGCTCTTGTAAGCCGATTTAATGATCCCGGTTAACCTCCGATAACTGCCCAAGGTGTTCACACACACTCTGATGTGAGCGATGCTTTAGTTATTGAGTGATACAATTTTTTTTTAAACCACATTCCTAGGCTTCCCTTGCTTGGCTGCTGTTTAATATTGCACGAAGTTTTGTAATATTTCCTCCTATATTACAGTGCTGTAAGTGGGGCAGAGTATTTTTTTGCAATTAGTAACTGGTGGTGAGAATGTCAACACGTCTTAGGAAATTTTTATAAATTACATAACGCGAGGTGTTCTGTCAATCCGACCGGCTGGTTCAAAGGTAGAGCTCCCAGCAAATTCAAGTCGTGGTTGGGAATTGACTCAACCCATCATCCCTTTAGAGTTGATAAATGAAGTACAATTTTGTGAAAAAGTCACCAGTGGTTGTTCTATTGATACACTCACAACCCATCCAACCTCCCCCCCACCCCAGGAGGAATGTGGAATTCCCATCACTGGCTCAGAGCCATAGACAGGAGTTGAGCAAGTGTCAATTCTCATTTGAGCAGGAAATCAATTGGTTGATTTTGTTGAACTGAAACAGCAGTTTGGGAATCTCGTCTCTTTCGGCGGTGGAATTCCATCTGTTGTTGGCTTTGTTGCTTGGCGGAGTTAAAGCATGCTGCTACCATAATTTGTTTCTATTACTATTTTTTATTTTACAAGGTAAGGCCCCCCCTGAGCTATGTAGCTCTTTGTCAGAATCGACCTGGCCACAAACAAAGAGGTTCATCATGCGGGAATTCATAGCAGCCATATACTCGAAATGTGGAGGGAAAAGCCGGAGGACCCGGAGAAAAATCCACGCGACCACAGGGGAGAACATGCAAACTCCAAATACACAGGCGTCAGGGTTGGGGTCAAACCTACGACCGCCTGTATACCAGGCGAGGGAGTTGAAATCTCGCCATCCCCGCCACCCATCCCACGGAGTACGGGTTAAAGCTTAAATATATATATTTTAAAACCCATGGCGGCTCCCGTGATTTATGACTATAGCTTACGTGGGACCGTTCTCACGGCGAAAGGTTAACATCCTGGCTCTCCCACGATACGGTTTCCCCCTTACGGCAGCAGCCCCGGCGGCGACTCCTCGGTAATTATGGCTAAAGTCCACCGGTGTGTCTCCCGATGTAACGCTGGCACACGGGCGCATCCACCACGCGCACCGGTGCCGGCGGCTTTGCTACAGGGGCCGCGGTTGGCCCCGTGAACTGGAGGCCGCCTCCGCTCATTATCCGTCGGTTACTTCTTCTTCGTGCCGTTGAAAGTAAAAATTTAATGAGATTGAGATGTTCGGGATCCGTCCTCTGGGCCAGTTTTTGCAACCAACTTCAAGCGGTGTTGTTGTTATTCCAAAGAGCATGCTCCTGTGTGTGTGATCAGCGCGGCGTGTTTGTGATGGACTGGACTCGTAAGAGCGCGCGTTAACAGATGTTCGGAATTACGAACACGCAACGTGCCACATTTCCACTCCACGTCCTGGGAGCTCTCCTCAAGGCTCTATCGTGGGAGAACCTACAAAAGGAAGCTCCCAGCACGTGGGGCGAAACCTGCCGAACAACACGTGGCACAACCCGAACAACATGCTGCACAGCGCGACAAGGCACGGGATAGCCGCGCGGTAGCACAACCGCGACAACCCACACAGCAGTCGGTGCGTCGTGTGTTTGGGGGGTGTTTCTACTACATGCGCCTATTTTTAAAAATTATCAGCACGGCGGTGCAGTAATTGGAAGCGTGGAGGCACAGTCGGGGCTGCCCTATCCTCGGCCTCGGCAAAAGGTCGCCCTGTTGATGGCAATGGCAGTTGCGTGTCTCTGGCTCTCTGGTAGCCCGTGCCGCAGCGGCCGAGTTAATGTGCTGGCACGCTGTCGCCAAATAATTTTTCTTTTGCCGATTGCTTTCGCTGTGCTGTGTTTATTCGTCGTGGCGTGACGGTCAGTGCCGGGCCCCGACGTCCTCAAAGTAAACTGGAACCATTGGATTTGACACCGTGACGGCAAAGCGTGCCCCCCCACCCCCAAAGCGTGGGGCCTGGGGCAGTCGCCCCGATTCGCCGTAGCTTAGGGACGGCTCTTGAGTGTGCGTGATGCCGGTGAGGTGCTTTGTGTCCTCATTTTGCACGCCCTTATACGAGGTCGCGACTCAACGTGAATTGAGCACAAGCTTTTGCGTGCGAATATCGCCACTGGGGAGGTGAATGCACTCGTGCATGTAAGGTGCTGGCCACCTCTCCCCTCTATTTTCACCTATTAGGTGCTCGCTAACTGCAGTCTTGGCGGAGAGCATCAAACACGGTGGTTAGCGCGCCGCGCTATGAACCCGGTGACCCGCGTTTGTTTGCCGGCCACGGCTAACATCAGTGGCGACCGATAGTCAAGAGAGTCGTGGGCCTTCCACTCTCTTCACCAACTCGTGCCGAATCGAATGGTGAAGTATGGTCATACATCTCCCATGACCGGTATGACAGGAAGTCATGTGCGTATGCAATTTGTACGTGTATACTTTGTTAATGTATATACAAACATTTTAATGACTTGCTTACCTTTTCTCTATTTTTAAATCCTTTATATTAAGTTCGCGTGCTTGCTTGCTTAGGACCGTGCAAATCTTTCGGTCGTTTTTTAACCCACTTCCCGTGATCCAATCGAGCTGACATTTTCCACACAGACTCGTTGTGCCAGACAATTATTGTTCGTGAAAAAAAATTCCCAAAATTTTACACTTTTTAGGCAAAAAAAAATTATTTTACATATATTCAAATAGAATGCATTCATGGCTCTGGCTGAACGTCAGAGTGTAAGAGCCCAGAGCGTAACCCCTCCACAGGCCGTGGCGGAGTAGCGCAGTTGGTAGCGCCCTCGCTTCCCATGCCAAAGGTCGCGGGATCGATCCCCGCGTCCTCCACAGGCGAATATATTTTTAAATCCTTTATATTAAGTTCGCTTGCTTGCTTAGGACCGTGCAAATCTTTCGCTCGTTTTTTAAATCCTTTATATTAAGTTCGCTTGCTTGCTTGCGTGCTTGCGTGCTTGCTTGCTTGCTTACGACCGTGCAAATCTTTCGGTCGTTTTTTAACCCACTTCCCGTGTTCCAATCGAGCTGACATTTTGCACACAGACTCGTTGTGCGAGACAATTAATGTTCGTGAAATTTGTTTTCCAAAATTTTACACTGTTTAGGGAAAACAAATTAAATATTTAATTACCAATTGCTTAATACTGGCAGACAATCATCTGACCCATAGGTGGCAGCCATCTCAAGCCAGAGGACGAGAGGACTCTAGCCGCCACGCATATAAAGGATTTATAGTGAAAAACTTTGTTTTTACCAGTTATACTTATGCACTCCTCCCCTTGTTTGTTGTTGTAACTTGCTGACCCGCCCCCTACTGGACATCTGTGAAAAAGAGCTTCATCGCTCATCGGATTCCTCCAGTCGAACAAAGATTTTGATTCTGATTCACACGGGAACCACCAATCGTTGGATTGATAGAGGACTATACCTTTACAAACAACAGCAGTCGAGCTTATTTATTTCTTCTTCATCCTCCTCCTCCTCCTTCGTATGGATGAATAGCAGCAGATTACAGATGTCATTTTAGATTTGTTATCCACCCAATTGTCTGTTAAGAAGCAGAGTGGACCTCGTGTCCATTCCTCCTGTAAAGGAGCGAAGGCAGCAGCAGCAGCAGCGGAGTGTTGACGATGCGGCCGGTGGTTTGGGACTTGCGGACGCACCGCTCGCAGGCCCGCCGATTCTTTCATGCATCAGGTTGCCACATCGGCCATGCCCGGTCCCGATTCGGTTGACGCAGTCGAGCTGATGGTCGGCCTGGTGAGACTGTGCGAGGGGTGGGGGGGGGATGTTTGGCGTTGCGTGCGCTCGCACTGTATACGTGGTGGGTATGCTTTTGTTGCACGCCACTGCTGGGCGCTTGAGCCAAGCGTGCTGCTAATTCTACATCAAGCAGATGCAGCGTTTCCAGCGGGGAGAAACTGGGAGGCCCGTATTAAAACATGCAAATCCATGTTCAAGATCGGATCACACTTTTCTTTTTTCTCTCTCTCTCTGTAAACCTCTGGAGAATTAACGGATATGAAATGTAATGTGGCATGCACCCTGGGGAAATGATTTTTACATTTGCCACTTTTTTTTTAATATGATTGTGGTACCAGTGTTAAGGCGCATGCAGGGGAAATGCATATATTTGTTTTTCGGTTGCTCTACAGCCGAGTGCAGCTTCAATGTTCCGTCCTGCGGTGGCGTAGCTATCGAGTGTGCAGGCAGTGCAGCTGCACAGGGGGCCCATGGGACGAAGGGAGAGGGGGGGGGGTCCCATCTCACTCCTTGCACCAGGGTCCATGCCAAGTGCACCGCGCGGCTGCTGGGATGTGGTAACAGAAATTGTTTATATTTTATCGGTCCTCATTTGTTAGTCGAAGCATCGTGTGGACGGTGTCTTTTTTTTTTTACAATTTTATCATTTTCGTACAACGGCGCGCATCACGCTGAATTCGTGCCGGGCACAGCTCGTTGCAAGCGTGTCTACGCAATTAAACGCTTTAAACAAGTTGGTGTGATTTCCCTTTGCTGGTGCTGGTGACCTCCCCCCCCCCCCCACTTAATTGCCGTAATGAGAACCCTCGTCCCAGTGACGTTCATTAGCGCGCTTCGAGTCGGCGAGCGCGTATGTCAGCGAACGTAATGAGTCGGTTGCTATGGGCCCCTACGTCCCCCGAGGAGAGGGGCAGGAGCGGCATCCAATTATCCCTCTTATGGATGCGCCCGCCATCCACGCCCTCCAGGCAGGCGGGCGGGCAGGCCTGAGCACACACAGAAGCAGTGGACTCACTCATCTTGGGCACCCCCCCACCATCTCTCTCTCTCCCTCCTTTGCCCGCCCGCCCACCACAGCTCCCAAACCCCCCACCACCACCGCTCCTACCATCACTCCGAGCCCCCCCCCACTGGGAGCGCAATCAGCCTCGTGCCGGCCACTGTAACTCGCCGATCCGCACGTCCGACGGACGGGTTGGGAGAGGAGGGGGGGTGGCGGAGGCGGTGGTGGGGGATGTGGGATGGGGGGTGAAGCGGGAAGCGATCGCTGGCTCGGAGCCAAGAATCGCGGACCGGACACCCTGCGCTTTGTACCCCGTTCGCTCTGGAGGAGGCTGACGATGTGACGGTTCCACGTCATAAAACCGAAGGATTTTCGCCGATATTTATTTAGTTATTTAGACACCCCTAACCACCCCCCTCCCCGCCCACCCATTGATTCCACGTGGATTTTTTTTACGTATATATATTATTTTAGGGAGCGCTCCGGTAAGATGCGGTCAGGCTGTAGATGTGCACTGAGAGAGAAGACGAGCGGTCTCACGGCGGCGGATGGTTGATTGCGGCTACGACGGTGGGTGAACGCGACACGTTCCTGTGAGCGCGGTGTTTGTCGTGGGCGAGGTTGCGCTGTCTCGCGATGGCCCGGGCGTTACGTGTCGCCACCAGTGCCCCCGATCGGTGCGGCTCCTCTCAATTCTTTCCACGTGCTTTACATTACGCGCACGGCAACGGTGTACATGTTTTGTAAGCAAATGCGCGCGAGAGATATTTTAACCGTTAAAATATTGAAAAAAAGAAATTGTACAATTCGACAAATTCTCGATAAATGTAATGGATCCTAGACCGGTTTGGGCACGTGTCGAGAAAGGGACAAAGACGGTTGCAAATGGGAGGGTGGCGGAGATGCCACCAGTGCAGTGCAGAGGGAGAGTGAGGATGAGAGGGGAAGGACTCGGAGCGAGATGCGAGGACCTTGGACGTGACGTGAAAAGAGCAAACAAATCTTGAGCGGCTGTCCTCGGGCAATGACGGGACATCTGGCTTAGAAGGAGTCGTACGCGTCTACGTGTGTTTGTCTCGCTTCTGTTCGTATACACACACGGCAGCTCCTGTTGTACGGCATTTGAGATCGTGCGTCTTGACGGACAGAAGCGGCGCGCACGGTCGAAGACCTCCGGCTTCGGGGAGTGCGTGCCGAGCGTGGGGGCGTCCACCGTATCCGTGGTGTGTCCACCCCGCGGAGTCGCCCCCGTGTTACTCACCCACTCGCCTGCCTCTTCACCCCTCCCCCACTCCCCCACCCACCCACCCACCCCTTGCCGTGCAGGCGCGTGGAGTCGCTTGCGCTGCGCTGGTTCTATGACGGCGCGCGCGCTCGTTTCGGCGGCTGCGGTGGCGCCGAGGTGGCATGCGTGGTGCGGGCACGGCTGCGCGCCGCCTGGGCGGGCGGCTCCCACCTGGCAGGTACGCGGGGCCGGCTCGTGACGCGGGGTGGGGCGGCGGAACTGCATACGCGGGGGTGCGGAGGGAGGTGGATACGTTGGTGGGTTACGTGTTATACGGCACGGTGGGCTCGCACGTGGTGGAACGATGGAACGCGGGGTGGTGGTGGAACATTCGTGCGTCAGTGTCGCGTTTTACTTGGTCGTACGTGAAACGCAGGGGAGCAAGATACAAGGTGAAATATCGAGCACAGGGTAAAGCAGGTACATGGTGGTGCTTGACATTCTGTGTGCATTTCGATTTAAAGCTTTCGTGACTGCAGGGATTCATCTTCTTGGTTCTTTCGGTAAAGTAATAAAATAGTAAAAATAAAAATAATAAAATAATTATTATGTTTTATTTGTATTATTTTATTATTTCATTCTATGTGACTTTACCAAAAGAACCAAGAAGATGAATTCTGTGTGCAGTGGAATTCGACGGGGAGTTCTCACGGAGTTATTTCAGGGAGTTGACCGGAGTAGATGGCAGGCGACGAGTTGCCAGGCCATCACAGCGGGAGGTCTACTCGATGTGGGGTGCCGGGGGTCCCGCCACGGACAGACCCTAGCTGAGATTGCTACCCTCCTGCAAGTGGACACGTGCGGTACGCAGGGGAAGATAGTGTTTGGGGAGAACAAGGTGCATCTGCGAGGAAGAAATGAACTGGCAGCTATTGGCTAAAGTGACGGGGGGAGTCTGAGTTATTTTTGGTGATAAGAGTTTAATTGTAGCCGCTGATTGAATTAGGTGCTATATTATTTAACGCGTTCATAAATATTAATTGATACTTTTGACTGGGACGTAAATATTAATTGCTACACTTTATTATTTACGATGCACGTCAACGTTAGTCGGGGAAACTTGCTTCTTTATGACGGGAGCCAATTCGCGAGGGAGCAGCCGGTGTGTCACTCTTGAGCAGCGTTTACGGATTTTTTTTTTAGTTTTTGTTGTTTTGCCGCTGACAGACGGGGATATAACGAAGTGTGGAACGGTCCCACTCCACGCTCTGCTCTTTTAGCAGAGGTCCCGAGCCAAGACACGAACGGCAGTGGCTGCCTTGTTTTAACAATAGTGACGTCGCAATTAGTGTGATTTTCATTTTGTGATCCCAAACCTTTAGGGGTCACCGCAAATAGTATTTATATTTGCTGACGTTGTCTCTATGGTGCTCTTATATCATTTGTTTTGCGTTGTTTGTCGGATGTCATTTGCTGACCCACCCCAACTGGACATCTGTGAGAAAAGAGCTTCATCGCTCATCGGATTCCTCCAGGATAAATAAAGATTCTGATTTTGTTGTACGTGGGACAGTGTATCCATCCGGCCGTGTGATTTCGGGAACACTTTTTTTTACAATCGTAATAACAACGCACAATAGCACGCAAATATTTCGCGAATTGGACTCAATGTTCCAGAACTCAAGAGTGTGCGGAGCCAAAGCTCGAAGCCCCTCCTATAACCAGCCCACACTTGCTGCTATTGGCATTTGAAATGCATTGCTTTGGAAGGATACTGCATCTGAACTGGACCCAAAGGGTGACAAACGTAGAAGTCAGACAAAGGTTGCACGGAGAAGAAGACAACCTGATGATGCAGGCAGCGATGAGAAGGACACTGGCACTATTTGGACACACGTGTAGGATGGACAACAACAGGACAATTAAAAGTGGTGTTGTTCACAAAATTAGAAGTAACCGTAAAAAGAGGAAGAGCCAACAGAGCATGTCTTGACGACGACATCACAAGAGATTGGTGCCAGAAAGACTTGGACCACCACTTGAGCATGTTGACTCAAGACAGAGGAAAGTGTAAACAAATGACGAAATGTGCAGTGCACACCTCCGGGGGTTAGCTGCCCATGGCTCGTGGTGATGGTGATGATGATGACTTGCTGCTGCTGCCGATGATGATGGTGATGGCAACGTATAGATCAGGAGTAGAATGGCACAAGTCCATCGTGGATTACCGTAATCACAGGCCCCTGCGTAACCCGCCAAGGCACAAAACAAAACGATTCCCGTCGTCTCGCCGTCCGACTGTCGTCGTCCGACTGTCGACGGCGGCTGTGATTTTGCGCGAAATTTTTATCTCGCGGGATTACAGCGGCGTCCCCATGGCAACCGGATGGGGGGGGGGGCAGGGTTGTGTGGGTGTGTGTGGGGCTGGGAATTTGAACACCGGCGTTTAGTGCGTCCATCGTTGGCGGGGCGCGCGAGAGACGCGCTCGCGCTTGAGGCTGAAACGATCCCCGGGTGGCGAAGGCACGAGCCGAATTCACGACGTTCGAAGCGGCAGTTGCCGAGTGATGGGGGTCCTCCTTGCTGACGACGCGCATTCGCGACGCGTGGCGCGCGGGCATGAACACGAGTGGCGCGCGAGCATGAACACGCGTGGCGCGCGAGCATGAACACGCGTGGGGACGTCGCGTCGCACGCACGCGGGGGGATGAGGCTGCTGCCCCGGAGTTTCAATCTTTTTGCCGTTCGCGCCTGTTACGCAAGCCCCCCGCCCCCGCCGCACCTTTGGTCGGACAGGGAGGTGGATATAGGCGAGGCAGTACAGCAAATAGGTTATTGGCATCTGCGCAGAGTTGGGATCGTTCTTCGGATGTGCGTAAAGGTTGTTTTTTTCTTTCTCTGCGCTCTTCACGTGTTCCTGCCACGTTTAATAGAAACAGTGAGATATTGGTACAATATCGGCATAAGGACCCTCTTGAAAAACAATATATTTTTCAAATTGTATTACTTGCCGCGTACTTGTTAGGCATGTAACAATGCACCGATTCAGAAAATACAATCTTCGATCATAACGTTCGTGATACGTGCAAGGAATTGTGCACATGATAATTTTATTTTTCTCTTCTTGGTTCTTTCGGTAAAGTCACCTGATGACGGCTGCTTGCGTTGTGGCCGAAACGTCGTGAAAATTATTTTATTATGTTTTATTTTTACTATTTTATTATTTCCATTCTACGTGACTTTACCGAAAGAACCAAGAAGATGAATCCCTGCAGTCACGAAAGCTTTAAATCGAAATTAGAGAATTTTATTATTGACAATCCATGTAATTTTTTAGGCAAATGGACATGGAGCGGTGGCACAGCTGGTTATCTGACTACACATTGAGTCTGGCAATCTAAGCGTGCTGCCCAGCCATAGCTACCATGAGTGACGAGCGACGTCAGAGCCAGAGCCGAGGCGAATGTTTGAACTGGTCTTTGGCCTCCCCTAAGTCAAATTCGCCTTGTGTAAATGCCAGCACTGGGGAGACAAAGGTGGCCGGGCATAGTGATGTCCACACCGCCCCTGCACGGGAGATAAATTGCCGCTACATCTCAAGGCCATGAGAGATGGCAGTGGCTTAGGAAATATTTCATCCAGCAGTGGATTGGTCATGGCTGTCTTGCATATTCAGTTCTTTGTGTTCTGCATAATTTTTTCAAATAGTCTGAAAGTAACATTTGCATACAATTTGCATGTAAATTGTATGAATCGTAAACAACTGATTCTTAAACGTGCAATTCAACTCTTGTGTAACAAGCGTAAGAAATAAAATGTATAATTTATCATTGATGGTTTGTCCCAGCCTAATTAGTATAAACCCGACTTTTATGTATCCATTCAAGTGGAGTAATTAATCTTCCAATTGAAAATAAAATAGTTTACAAAACTATCGCTGAATGCGTTCTGTAAATGTTGCCAGTCCGGGAGAAATTACACGTTGACCCACCCACCATAATCATCGTCAACCATGGTCAATCCACTGCTGGATGAAGGCCTCCTCCAGCCGACCCAGCGATGTAGCAAGCCACCCAGCGCCTGCACTGATTCCATGGCTCCGTCTCCCGGTGGACGCATTCTTGGGCGCGTGACGTTCCACCCGACGGGAATGAAAAGTCGACATTTTAAACGTGTTGCTGGAAAAGATCAGATAAGCGGTCATCGGCGGTGACGGACGCGGCGCCGAGGTCCGTGTAATCCGCGCGCTCACGACCCTAGCGGAGCCTTCACTCACTTTTATATCACACCTGCCGACAACCGAGATGTCAGGGTTGGATAAATTCATTTAATTTAGTTTCTTATATTCGGTGAAAAACACCGCCCCAAAAAGCAAGACTATTCTCCTGTGCTCATGTGAGCAGCTAAGCCGCTTCAATGTCATCATCATCATCATATTATTCATCAGCCATGATCTATCTACTGCACGATGAAAGCCCCCCCCCCCCCCCCCCAAGCAGTTATCGTCTCTCTCTCTCTCTCCGCCGGAGAAATAGTGACTGCAGCGCAACAATCCATGTATGTAGCTCCTGTACACGAGCTTATTATTTTAATCACTCCCATCTCTGCGGTTGATGTCGTCTTAGGCGTGTTGCCTCCTTTGCCTGCACCTCCATCCTTAGTCTCAACCACTGGCCAGTTCTCACCGCATCATGTCGGCTCTCAGTTGGTTGGTGCCTGCTCCCTGTGGCATACGAGAGGGCCACGGTGTTGAGAGAATTCAGTGCAGCTCTCCCACGCGTTTTCGGGTTGTACTGCGTGTGGCTCGGCACGACGCTGCATGTGCTGGGAACTTCAGCAGGAGCTGCTGTTGTTGCTGGTGCTGGTGATGTTGCTGCTGCTGATGTTGCTGCTGCTGCTGATGTTGCTGCTGCTGCTGATGTTGCTGCTGCTGCTGATGTTGCTGCTGCTGATGTTGCTGCTGTTGTTGCTGCTGCTGTTGTTGCTGCTGCTGTTGTTGCTGCTGCTGATGTTGCTGCTGCTGATGTTGCTGCTGCTGATGTTGCTGCTGCTGATGTTGCTGCTGCTGATGTTGCCGGTTTTAACGTTGATTGGTTCAGCTCCCTGACACTGGCCAAGGAGCAGCATCATTGGAGAAATCTACTCCTCGTTTCTGGAACATGGCCCAATTTGTAAGGCTTAAGTTGTTTGCAAGGTTAACTCGGTGGTAATTTATCTGAAAATCACACAAAGACAAGC